GGAGTTAAAACCTCTTTATTAAATAATTTATACTGCATAACACTGCAGTATATAGCTATTGTTGCTAGTTGTTATTGTTATTGTTGTTTTTGTTATCTATTTTGACTACAGAACTATATTCAATGTTAACTATTGTTTACAAAGGTTTATCATTGTTAGTGTAAATTTGCTCATGTTTTAGTGTTTTAGATTATTGTTCCTGTTGTCAAGATATTTCTATTAAGTAGTTAAGTTATCATAGGTCCCATTGCATGTTTGGCTTGACCCTTAGATAAAGTCACATTGAATATGGATTGTAAAAAAATAATTATGAATTGGTTTGTTCGGACCGTTGGAAGCAAAATAAAATAAAATAAACAGCCTCATTCCGTACCTTATTGTACTACTTATTTTACTGCACCACTTCTTCTGTGATACTTCAAAGCTGGACACGATACACAGAAGTTGGGAACAATCTGCGAATCAAACAGCACCGGGCACAACGACCCTACACTAAGGCTGACGAGGGACAGGACATTTTAGAAATTTTAGGTGCCAAATGTGAACCACCGAGTTTGATTGAAATGTCATAAAAGTGGAAAGTGTCAACGGCTCCACACCCTCACTGATTGTATCAATTAGCTCAAATCGTTGTTGTTATTATAGTGAAAATAAACAAACCACAGGCATACTGACATTGTAACCAATTAAAACTTATGCAATCCTGTAAGTTTCTTTAAAAATTATAATAAAAATTATATATTAAATAATTGCTGTAACTCCAAAGTCTACTGTGTATTCTCTGACAATAGTTATTTGTTAAAATCTCTTAAATGGATAGAAAATTTATATTGCATAACAACATCATTCCGTACCTTACTCTGGGTCGATCACTTCACTTGTGCCTATCGGGCAGCACGGATTGTTGAGAGAGTTGACGAGAATATAAAAACATAAATTAACTAATTTAAAACAGAAAATGTGTAATATAATCGATAAAAAATCCTAACTTGGAAACAAATATAATCAAATGTCTATATTCGAGTTGCCAAATTTAGCGGTACAAACACAAACACTTAATGTCTAACATTAAGCAATCAAAAGTACATAGTTATCGACTTGTTTTGATTTGATATGAACATGTAATCTAAAAAATATCAACAAGATATTTTATTAGGTTAACTTACTTTTAACATGCTTTCTTAGGTTCGACTATTTCTGTTTAAAAAAGCTATAATTATAAAGTAAAATCAGGTAGGGTATAAAATTTTATAAATTATAAGCGTTTGAAACTTGTGTTGATTTGTTTTGGTAATGTAAAGTGATTGTAGCGTGTTCTGCGCAAGGATATTGCGGTAGAGGTTCAGCGAAGACACGACAGGTGGCAGCACTTTCACGAGGATCCTGAATACCTTATTCTCTCACTTCTACTCGGTTAGGTATGTGCTGCGATCTCTCGGAAACCAGTAAAACATAACACACCATTCTACACTCATCCTTCACTCATATTTGGGTTAAAATACGTCCCCATCTCAATTATTGATAATTGATAATCTTCTACGTTTATGTTGTATCTTTATCAAGTACATTTTATGAGCTCCTACAAAGAAAAGAGGCTGCCTCCACAAAGGGTCCGGGTACTGAGAGACGCGGGATAGTAAAGGTGTTTAACTTATTTATTGATATATGTTGGGGCCAAACCCAGAAAGTGTGTATTCACTATATTGCGAGATAACTATAAAACCTGTAGGTATTTTTCTACAAAGGTATTAGGGCAAAAAAAAACAAGTCTGCATCTTTTAAAATACAGGTACTAAACCTTCTCCTCGATAAACGAGATTTGACATGCACATACTGTGAATAAAAATTTAACAAATATGTTAGCCTATTTAGTATCCATCTAGGTTATAGTCAAGTTAACGAGTTTTTTATGTGGTCTTCACATACGTATGAGATCGGGTTACAAAATTAGAGATTTTAAATACGAAATCCTCTAAACCTGTATCCTATACCCATGTTGCAGCAAATCTGCATACTAAGCGATCTTCCAGCCACTTAATTTCATTTATACTCAAACAGAGTTAAAAGAAAGGGAATTAATCTCATGTACCTACACCTACAAACAGCATTATGCTATATGAGACCTTAGGTCTGCTAAGAACACAATGATGCTGGTATTCATTAACTAAATTTACAGCAGAACCCCAACCATCGGAATCGCTTACAGAAAGAATTTTGAAAAACCAGGCTGTAACGTTTGCAACTTTATTTGTCTGTAGAGTAGAATCTCACTAACTCGACGGGAACTCGACAGTCTGTTTAATTTGACAGGCTGACAGCTGACAGGGCGTACTCACAAAAAACATTTTTTCCTGAACGTTCAGTTTAAATTTTAATGCGACAATTAATATTTGACATTTCTTTGGAGATTGTTTACTCAATATGTACAAACAATCATGTAAGTAATAAATTTATATGTAAAATTAAGTCTGTTATGAATTCATGTGTTTAGACTCAATAAACATTTTAATGTTCTGGATAACTCAACAATCGCCAAATTCTACAATTTTCGGATCCACAAATAGCCGAGTTAGTGAAGTTTTACTGTAATAGGAAATGAAGATATAATTTTGTGTAGGCCTAACTTACTTACTGTAAACTGTTTTCCAGAATGGATTGCACAAATTCCAAAGAAAAAGAGATGGTGCTGCAGCTGTAACGAAGAAAAAGCCGAAGTTCCTGTACTCCGAGGAGTCAATGGCAGCTGCTTTAGAAGCAATACGAGGAGGGAGGATGACAAGCCGGCAGGCTTCTCGTCATTTTAGCGAATTTCCAATATAGGGAATAAGCTATTACCGTAGGCCTCTTGGCAAGACCTAGACCTAGACTTACGGAGAAAATGAAATTTGTTGTAGTTTACTTGTAAAATTTGGTTTAATTTATTGATTTCATCCAATACTATTGACCGTTGGTCCAAAAACACGTTTTACCTTCCCCGTAGCAGCAAACCTAAGCACTCGTTAAATCCAATGTTATATAAATTGGGAATAAACATGTCTTATTTGTAGAAATATTTTAGTAAAAATGTAGTCAGACAAGTTGAAATTCACTTAGTCTGCAGGTTTGCTGCGGCGAGGGTATTTGAGTACCTTTTAGTGCATTGCGCTACAAAGTGAAAGGTAAGGTTCCTGATGATAGGCGGATGGGACCTAAAACAGTTTTGACTACTGAAGATGAGAGCCTTCTGGAAAAATCTATTCTTACTATTTCCGTTGCAAAAGAGGACTCTTGTGGAGACGGTAAATATTTAATAAACATAAAATACTTCCTATAGATTAGGTCTATTATTTTGATAGAAGAAATTACAACATAAATTAAAAAAAAACTATGTATTAGATATTTGATATCCTAAAACCTCTTCTACAAAATAAACACTTCCATCGAGAAGCAAATCAGCCAATTTATTTTTAATTTTAACAAAATTAAGCTCTTTGACAGTTCAGGTAGCTTATTAAAGAGCTATATTTGGGGGAATTTGTGGCTATTAGTATATTTTGATAATCATATTACTATCGGAATATCTAGCTGGTTACATTTCCTTGTACAGTATTATACAGTAGTTGTTAAATTCGTTACGTTTTGGGAATGAGGAAAGATTTTCTTTAACAGCTATAGATATAACATTAAATTTTGGAAAATGAATATACATGGTATAGTCATTATCGAAAGTTTGATAAAGAGGGGTTTGCTGGTCGTTCTGCTTGGGGTATCAAAAATTATTCTTACAGTTTTTTCTGCCACGTGAAAACCTTCCTGGCCAGGGCTATTACCCCATAAATGTTTCCATATAGAAGATGGGAGCGAAAGAAACTGTAATGCGTAGTAAACCTTAAACTGAGTGCCTAGTAATTGATCAATTAAGAACGGTAGACAAAATATATTTTTCTTAACCAAAATTGTTTAAACTTTCACCTCAATTTTTCATTTTTCTATAGCTCACTCACAGACAAATAGGATTATATATATTTACCAGTTTATGTTCAATGTTTATGACTGAAAAAAATATTATTAGTAAAATACTTCAAAGGTGCCAGAAATTGATCATCTGAAACTACTGTTTGATCATCCGGAAACCAGTAATAGATCAGGTGAGCATATTTAAAATAAACCAATTGATTATAAGGCTGCTAAAAGAAAGAATACTGTGTTAGAGCAAACAGTAAAATTATATTGAGATACAATATAGTCATTGTATGAAAAAATACTAATCTAAGACTAGTCATAGGACGGACCTAGGGAAAATGTATTGTAAAATATCCCAAGATAAGAGAGATACACTTATTCGACGTTAGTGATCTAAGACGTAACCCACTCCACAAAAACAACTCCAGGGTTTACAATCGGATGAAAAAAATACTTGCACTATTCAAAGTCAATGCTTAAAATATGCCTTCAGTGTTTGACATATAGAGTAGTAAACAGTACGTAGCCTTCAAGGGCACTAAATCAAAACCGGTGTAATGTTCTTGAGTTGAGTGTAGAATGGAGCGATATAGCTTGTGTAGCTTTGCTTGTGTCCACAAGTCAGACTGTTTCTTTAACCAGCACTATCTATTATACAGTGTAGTTAAAGTGATACAATCAAATTTTATGTAGATTTTTAACAGTTATTTGTTATGACAATCTTAAACAGGTCGTCGTGAAAGAGAGCGACGGGTTCAGGTACAACCATACGTACCCACCTCGGCCATCCCAGGACGTAAGGTATGAAGGTTCCGCTGCTTTTAACATTTCTTCTGATAAGAATTTCTTGAACTTGGGGTCTTTAAATGAAATATAGGCAAAATATTCTTATGGAGGCTTCTGAGTTGTACAACCGTGAATTCAGTGATAGAACCTCTCGTCATTTATTAACAGTCCAACGATCAAAGAAATCAGAAGTTAGTTTCGGACCATAAAAATATTACTGACTAAAGAGCTTTTATTGTAAGAAATACTTCTAGAAAAAGAAACTGCAGCCATTTCTGACATTCTATTTATTATATGGCACTCAAGAAATGTTACAAACAATGCAATAATTCAAAATTGAGTCTTCATTGTTATTGAAACACTGTATTATCACTACATGTAATAAGACTTGGCTTAACAATATGGCACAGTATCTTAAGTAGATAATAATTACTATTTTGACTACATTGTATGTTTGACTAAACTCTGTACTTAGAACTTAGATGATGAAGATAATCATTTTAAAAAGACTCTGTTTTTGTCAAATTAACCCATCCTGGGGTCAGATATTCATTTCTTTTGATTGTAGAAGGTCCGGCAGTTTGGGCGACGAGAGTTCTCAGGCCAGTCGCAAATGTTAATCTCCGTGTTCCAAACTGTTCCTAGCTTACACTCGAATTCGAGCGCTTGTCCGTGTACACACTGGTAGTACTGTAATCACAAACAATTACAGTTTTTTTTATTAATGAAATCTTACTAGAACATTAATCTCCTTGTAAGCTGATAATAGCTGAAAGAAGTTATGGAAAACAATGATATTGAATATTAATGTCTTTACGAAGTGATACAATTCACCATTAAGGGGAACAAATATTACCCTTCTTTGTGTAGAAGAACGATCCAGTAAAAGCCTAACATATTACGTGCAATAAGGCGAATACCACCTCGTTAAAAAAATGTACTCGACCTTCTTTTAACCTCTATTTGAATGAATGTTAATCCTTTATTGAAGCGAACTTAGGACCTCATGTTCCATTCTTACAGTTAACCTCTTGTTAAATATGACTTTATGACCCAGCATTGCTCAGCATGTAACAGCTTCATACAACAACTGTTGTCTATTTTACATCCTCCTTGTAGATACCTACGATACATAGTTAATACTTAGTTATTTTACCTTGTTACACTTGGCGTGTGCCTTGAACCCGTCGTTGGAGCAGTCAACGTCGGCCTGTGTCTCGCCCGCAGGAGGTTCCTCAGCCTCTATCACCTCCCCCGGCTCCTCGGCCTCCTCTGTGGTCGTGGCAGGACGTCTAGAGGTCGTGTGTGGGCGCCGTGTCGTGGTAGCCACGGGTTTGCTGGTCGTCGCTGGCTCGTGTTCGCAGGGACATCCCTCGGTAGGTTCTCCGATTGGTCTGGTTGGTTTGGGAGGCCTCGGTTTCTCTGCGGCTGGAGGCTTAGGCTTTGGCTTCTCAGGCATGGGTGGTTTAACCATCGGTTCCTCTGGTACATTTTCCTCTGGCAATGGGTTTTCTACCGGAGGTTCCTCGGTTGTCGGTTTTGGAGTTGTTGGTTTTCGGGTCGGCTTCGGTTTAGGTTTCGGCTTATGAGTTGGTCTTTTCGTTGGTTTAACTCCATCTGCCGACGGTGTGCTGGGTGGCCTTGCCCACTCAGGCTGTGACATCACAATAAATAATAATACAAGTTTAAAACATTTTTTATCTTACTTAAATTAAAATTTAAACTATTTTTCAATCAAATAATACACCCCGCTGCATTTGTTACTGAGAAAGTTCACAACCCAATTACAGTCAGTACAGGTTTACAGTCAGCAGATACGGCCCTTTCAGTTTGGATTGGTTGAGGCAAAAGTTGACAAATTCTAGAGACCGGTATGCACATCAGTGCAATCTGTTGGTGGCTCACTGCAACTGCGTTCACTAGCAATAATTACTCTACTAATTTAATACGAACTCTAAATCTTGAAACATTTAAAACAAAGGTATGGAATGCGTAGATCTAACTAAAGTTTAAGGTTTAAGTTGTCTGTATGGCCTTTTGTTGATAAAGCTGGTTCTCTAACGTTATTTCGAATTGCAGTGTTTTCTTTTACCAGGTTGAGGTTAATCCTTCACATAGAATTACTTTTTACACTACTTCAGACTAGGCTTAGTGGCTGTGGCATTATCACTTAGATAATAAAACCCTTTGTTCATTGACGGGATTTGCACCTTGGAACTTGGGAACCGAAGTACCGTGCTCTAGACTTAACTAGACGAGCTTGCTTTCGCTTTGGGAGCGAGTTGGAAACGGGAGAATTATATATTATATTACAGTACTTGTTTCCTCTGTACTCACCCTGGGCGTAGTGGTGATTGTAGGAGTTGGCACAACGTACCCTCTCATGCCCTTGTTAAGCACCTGGATCAGTGGGTTCTTTGGGCCACACACGCCGTTGAAGTCGTCCATGTCTATAGCCCACGTCATCGCCCCTGCGTACCCCTTCTGCTTGATCCAGTCCATCTTGATCTGAAGACTCTTCTCGTTCTCAAACCCGACCCACTGAGTGCCTGTGATCAAACCACCTCCATCATACCACCACTATAACTCAATAATATCAGCGTTTTGGAACAGTACAATGCGTTTGGCACATGACATACATTTTTTTAAGTTTTTAAATGTATTTCAATAGTAGATTTGTGTACGTTTATTAGGGGGGAACGGTCCTAACTTGGTCTTGATAATATTTTAAATCAACCTCCCCTTAAAAACATTGATAGCCCAATGAAAAATCACATTTGAATTCAGAAAGCATTATGACTGAAAACTAATATGAAACCAGTTAAACTCTCCATAAAATAATAAAAGACCCACTTACTTTGAGATTAATTTGTTCACTTGTACCTATCTAGAATAATGAAGTTCACATAACAAGTTAAAACAAACTGTTTATTTACGATAACATGTTAATGTTTTAACATGTTAATGTTCGTACACGGCTCAAACAACACGTCACATCATTAATTTTATCTGAAGGGAAAAAGACAAGTGGTTGAATCACTGTAATGTGACAATAGTTCATGAAAAAAAAAACATAACGTCGGTAGCTAAAATATGAAATATTATAAAAGAGTAGAACTTAACAAAACAATGAACATCAGAACTTTCATAACAAAAATACGTTGTACCGAATCGTCAACATAATCAACTGTACTCAGATTTCGTCCTGTTCAGTCCTCAGTATGTTACCTTTGTACGCATAGGGGCAGAATCCCACGTCGTCCCACTTCTCGGTCCATCCGCCGTCTTCCTCTTGCAGATAGTCACATATCTGTAGACAGAACGAGACTTTAAGTCATTTTTCATAAAAAAAATATGATCTTACTGATAAATTTGGTAGGCCTACCCAATTGTCGCATCATTAAACTTTTTAATTTGGAAGATTACGTCAAGGTGTTTAAGCCTTTTGGCATAGCAGAGATAAATCTAAATTTGTGGGTCAATAGCCTAGGGACAATAGAGTCACACGCTGTATTATTTACTCTGGCAATGTGCGATGTAGCTTTATTTTTTTATTGGTGTCTTTCAACGTTATTGGTTTTTCAAGTGCTTATCAAGGCAACTGTCCAGAGAGTAACGGTTTTGTTACTCTCTGATGTTGACCTTGTTTTAGATATAGGTATATTAATTAATAGCAATTGACAAATGGCATCTAAGTTCAAACTAAAACCCGCTTGAGATCGAATAAGACCGTTACGATTTGAAGACAACACTAAAACCATTCACCTACACAGTAATCAGCCTGTTATTCCAATGTTGAGATTTATTTACAAAATATCTACATTTCTGTTGTCACCACCAACCTCGTAGTAGGCGAGGAATCCCTTGGCGTTGGTGTAGTTGCCCGGAGCACCGCCTCCAGCCTCCTTGTTTATGTATGAGCCCAGCGCGTAGCTGGTGCTGCCAGCGCTCAGGGTGAAGGAGCGGCCGTAGAACGGCACACCCACCACCAGCTTGTCCGGGGAACAGCCGAAACTCACCCATAACTCCAACCCATCGTTCTATAACACAAAGAGATCGACTAGGTTATTTAAGATAACACAAACTATTTTGTAGAAGATACTTTTAGGTCTTTTGGTTGGAATGATCTTGGTTCGGCTGAGATATGACGTGTGAGATGTAGATGGATAAGTGTTTGAGGAGCAAAGTGTGTATGAAAATTGAAAACCATAAGAAACTATTATTTAAATATTTTTTTAGATGAATTTGAGGTACATAGGGTTTGGGCATGGGTTATGAAGATTTAATTGAAGACACGGGAAAGAAGAATGTATATGTTACGGATTTTTGAACTTACAAAGGGTAAATTCTGGATATAGGGGCCCAAATTGGTTTGAAAACGTGAGAAAGGAATGCGGGAAATGGCATTAACGGATTTACAAATATGGAAAAAAGCTGATTTGAGTCTCCGGCATAGAAACGAACGACCACATAGGCATAGGTCAATGGTGTGTGTGTGTTGTAAATCTGTGTTAGACAACGGATAGATGCAATACCTAAACTACTTACCACCAATCCTTTATTCTAACCTATAAAAATATAGAAACAGTAACACTTGTGTTTATATTTACTGACCACGTTGAGCAGCTCGTAGGCGTACTGGTCGCTAGGCCGGCGATACAGCGGACTGTGTACATCAGCGAACCCTGCCCAGTTGCCTCTTAGGTCATAGGCCATCACGTGGATAGCATCCAGCAATCTACACACATGGCATTGTTATAGTATGTATCACAATGATGTATGTATACTATACTAGTCTCGATCTATGTGTACACTGGAATAACTTTGTTGTCACTTTATTCATAAGAACTTGTGAGTCGAATTTCAGGATAGTAGAATCGTTGTCCTTTCAACATAGGTAATACAAATCAATCAGTGGATAAGTTTTTTTTCCACAATTCAACATCTCAGATTGGATTGTACAACTACAAGGTTTTATAGAATGACAATAATAGCTTTGACTACGGATATAACTCTAGTATCTAAAGATCAACAGGCCTACTAATAGCCATCCCTACGATGGCCTACTTCATATTCTGAACCGAAATGTTAGTGTATTCCTTAAACATTATGGAAGATTTTTGTAACCCTAATAGATAGGTTTACACATTGTACAATAAAAGAATTGTTTAGTTCATCTCACAAAACTGTAAAGAGTGGCCAATATTGTCACAATCCCGACTATTCTGCGTCTTGTCTTTTTTAACGCCTTTAGCACTTTTTGCATAAGGAAGTGGCCCAAACCCTAGTCAAGCTACTATTTAACACGGAACTTTTGATAGTGACCATCAATCATCGATAGCCCAATGAATGACATGTGGCATACCGGTATGCGTCCAGATTCGACCCCATCATGACTCAAACCAGCAACCTTCTGATTCGAAGGTGGACACTAAGGACTATCAGGGCATTTAGACTGATGAAGTATTCAAGAGACGCAACTCACTCGCACAGTTCGGGCACGTGGTAGCCCTCGTTGAGACGGAACTTGGCGAGCGGGACTGCCATTGTGATCTCCCAGCCCTTGCCCTCGGCGATGAAGGCCCTCCGCAGCTCCTCCACGAAGAACAAGAACTTGTCCTTGTCACTGAAGCTTCCTCCTCGGTCCGCCGCGCCCGGGTACTCCCAGTCCAGGTCGAACCCATCAAAGTCGTACTTGTGCATGAACTCTGCAAACATCACACGTCAATGTTACACAACATGAAGGTAGTTTGGACTGCTTGCTTACTAAATTCTATGATAGAAATCACCTATGCAAGCCTTCGAAATTTACTCGCTCGGTTACCGAGTTTGGCATATAGTCCAGTCAATGGGGATGCGGAATACTGTCCCCCGGAAAACTAACCCCCCAGGTGAAACGTGACGTCACAAAATCTGCTAACTAACCAATATGGAAGCCGTGTCCGCGACTGGAATACTACCCCCCCCCCCTAGATAAATCATGCTATGTAATTTTAATTTTAATTCGAGTAATTCCGTTGGATAATAGAAAATGCATGTGGTGAATATAAAACAGATTTTCGAAATGTTACAGCAAGTTTGGTTGGTTAGGTTAGGTTAGATTAGAACTGTTTGACAACTAAATTTGAGTGTCCGTGACTGTAAAACTGCCCCCCCCCCCGGTCTCTGACGTCAATATGACGTAGGAACCTGCTTGGGGGGTAGTTTTCCGGGGGGCAGTCTTCCGGCGACTCCAGTCAATGACGTTAAAAAATAAATTTGCATTTATCCCATACAGCACCGATTTTAGCAAACATTTAGATTTGGGTTCTACCTTTCCTCTATTTCAAAGTCCACAATTTGACGGGGGCTGCTTTACCCCCAGGGTTACAATCTTTTATTGAAAAGAAGAGCAAAATAAACAAACTGGCTAATTGTAAGCATTTTTTTTTTTTATGTAACAGACATGTCTGTAGATGTACTATTCAGATGTACAGTAAAATGGTAAAATGGTCTACACAAAACTAAACTAGGATACACTTAAACACTGTTTTAGGCCCGTTCCTACCTCTTCGATCAGTAATGGACTACCAGAGTTAGTTTAAGCAACACAGGCTAACACACTGATAACACTAATCATGATTGAAATTCTCCATTCTAGTACGTACCAACCACGCTGCGGATGAAGGAGTCTCTCCTCTCCTTCATGGAGACAAGCGCCGAGTACTTGCGGCCTCCTTCACCCCATCCTCCCACTGCCACTGAGGTCTTCAGTCCCGGGATTTTCGCCTTCAGTGCCGTGAAGTTCTTGTAGCCATTCTGTTCCACATCAACCTGTAGACAAAAGTGTATATGTTCCGTGTATATAACTTATGAAGACTGATATAATCTATGAAAATATCTTTAATTGGATATTTACAATTTTATATCTACAGTAAAATGGGTATTGGAGTGATCCCATGCCACAACACGTACATCTGTATGAGTGGCAATTAATTGTCTGAGTAGCCACATGGGATAGTTCTCGTCTTGAAGTACACTGGTTGCTAGTTCGATCTACAGTATATTGGGGATCGTAGATACAGATTACATTTGTAATGAACTTTAAATTATGATACTGCAGTATACTGTATAACGAATTGTCGGCGTAAGAGTGAAAGAATTAAAACGCCAAACCAACTTGGATTTGGTATGAATGTTTCTTAAAGTAAGTGTTCTTTTAATCATTTTACACTATTTTAAGTACATTTAATAATCGTTTGCTGCTCGTTTTTTCAAAACTTATTTCCCTTTAAATAGTTCTCTGAATTTTCTTCAACCTGCATAATAAAGGGGGAAGTTTTTGCTTGTGTTAACAAATGTTTATTGTACCGCACTCAAGTAACCAAAAAGGTTTCTTTATGTGTTGACTTAATACAATAGTGTTGAAATGACGAAGAATACAAAACAAAAATATTTAAGAAAAATGTTTAGATATCGTCAAGATTAATTTTTATTTTATCGGCCGTATGTGTGTGCGCGCTATATGTTTGTTCGTGTGTATGTGTTTGTGTAAAAAGCTTTTAATCCTGACGACCTTCATTTGAAGTAATCATTCATGTACGCACCTGATGATGACTTCTTAGCAGGTTAAAACTAGTTTTGGAATACAACAATTGGATTGCCAGAATAAGGTATTTAAACCAGTATCATTAGTTAAGATATTGATTTCGTTTGAATACCCACAACTTGAAACTTGATATTACATTTTTTTGTTCCTCAAACACTCATGTTAATGAAACTTACTATTATAACAGTTTTAATAATTTGAGGACACAGTCATATCGTTGCGGGAGTAACAAACGCGGGAGTTCTCCTTAGGAAGTTTTACTAAGCAAAGTTCACCAAACGCAGATCATTGTCTTTGATTTATAGACATCAAAGTTGATACATGACAGTTATCAAACATCTGCCTCAGTCGCGGATATCCATTCGTACTGTGTATGTTTCGGATATATCGTATCTTAGCTGTCTTCTCCTCGCGCTCCAACCGGATAGCTCTAATTGATTTGTTCTTTTTATGGATAGTCGTTTAGTTGTATATCATCATTGTGACTGTGTTTTTATCTATGCAAATGTGTCACTATATTATGGTTGAGGTAAGAAATTTTATGTTTATAATTTCATGTCATTTTGCAATGTTTCGTCTATTAGATTACTGAGCTTAAGTCCTATGGAAGGTGTCCGCACAGAAGAAGTGTTTGTCTCTTACTTAATATTTGAATACTTCACTTTATAAATTAAGTTAAAAAATTATTTTTATCTATTTAAGGTTTTAGTTTCGGATAGCCTTTAGCATTATTGATCAAACACATTCAGTAATACTCGAGCAGAATAAAAGGTTCAAATATTTAATGAAAATAATTCCTTGATACACATATTTTATTGACTTCAAATAATTTTGATTCACTATAATTAGTCTCGAACGTGGCTCACTTTGGGCAAGATAGCAAGGTGAAGTGAGCGCAGAACACAACTATCGAGTCCCGGACCGGAATTGAACTGTCGTGACGATTGGACCACGTTAACATTTCGTATTCTTTTAAATGTAAACAAAATGCAAATATGTATGTTTTGACAACTATATTAATCCATACTGTAATAATATACATGTATTGGCACATAAAGACAAAGTGTTTGCCATACCTCTGGATCTAGAACGAGCACCTCCCAAGTGACGTTGCTGACTCCTATGAAGGAGTAGATGAGGTGGGTGCACATATCGGCGGGGATGTCATCGATGGTGTAGCGACCCAGGCCCGGCCTGTAGATGGCCCAGTTGCTGAAGTAGCACACTATTTTTGAGTCTTCTGTAACTCACAGATACTAATACAGATACGATTTCATCAATGGCGTTAACAGACGTAAGCATCGCTGACGCTAACCCAGTTGATGAAGTAGCAAACTATCACCAAGTCTTCTGTAACATATATTGTTACAGATACGATTTAATCAATGGTGTTAACAGCCTTGGCCATTCCTGACTCCTACAGAAAACACAGCGTATAAAATCTGCTAAGTCCGCGTGACGATAGTTCGTAAAATGCATTGTAGCAATGGGAAACATACATACAATATGCTCTATTAACCAGTGTTTGTCTTAATCAGTTTATAAGCTTTAGCCAAACACTGAGTCGCCGGGTCTTACATAATGCATAACACTGTTCTCGCCGGTTGGCCCCGTGGCCTCAAAAACATGCGTCAAGCTAAGGTTATGAATTCTAATGACATCACTTTCTTTTCCTATTCAGAACTAGTACCATAGCCAACGGTGAACCTTGAAGTACTAAAGTTTAATTTATGAAAAATGTATCATTAACATATTTTTTCCCTCTCTCATATGTATTATAGAAAACTAAAGTTCTTTTGTTCCTGGACTTTGATTTCTTCGCCTTGTCAATGTGAAACGATTCTTGGGTTTCTTAGCAAATAATTTATTTAGTAACAAATTTCAATCAATGTTGAAACTCATCTTTAACGTATCAACATTTAATTCAAATCACAATTAATTAAACACGAAAAGGTTGGCACATTTCTTTTGTAACGTGTCAAGTCTTGCTGTTTCAAAAGCACGTTCAAAGTGTCTTCATAAATAACAGATATTGCAACTGCTTCAAGTACGCGGCCTTGGAGATTCCATTCTTTGTCTGAACGTCTTCGCTAAATGGAATAATCGAAATGATTCATCCACCATTCATTAAATTTTCTGATTGAGAAATGGATTGCTAGTCGAGTTGAAACAAATCAACAACAAAGTCGTCAATGGACAGTGCTTACTAGCAGTTGCATCAAATAATCGGTGCAATATTTGAGTTTTAGCTCTAAAAAGTTGTTTTCCCTATTATATTTCCAAATATCAAACCTACCCCAAAGGGTTGTGATACCAATGATGAATTTTATGATTAACTAAACCACAGAATGTAACTTTGTTAACTCTACACCTTTTCTAATTTTATTTCAGAAAGTGTCTAGATTATTTCAGAAAGAGTAAATTGTATTCCATTATTAAATATCAAATTAAATTACCATTTGTATTCCAGACTAGTAGTTTTTATTTCATAAAACGCCAATTGAATTTCGAAAGAATAAATTGAATTTCAGAAATAGTCATATTTATTTCAAATAGTATTTCAGAATTTGACACATTAACTTCAGAGTTAGTCAAATGTATTTAAGAAATTAATATAATTAAACATCTGTTTATAACTGTATTATTCCAAAATCAGCTGCTAATTCCTAATGCTGAGAACAAAGTTGTTTACACAAATTATTTCTGAAATACAATTATAATTTATATTTTCTGAAATGCAGTTAATACTATCTGGAATACAATTGATATCTTCTGAAATGCAAATAATTGTTTATGGAATATAAATGATCATTTCTTAAATAAAAGTGTTATTTTCTTAAATTAAAATTACTATTCTGAAATACAGTTGACGCTTTCTAAAATTGAAATCTTACATCTGAAAAACAAATTGTCATTTCTGAAATACAGATGAAGATTCTGAAATACAATTGACCCTTTCAAAAATGAAATTGGTAAGGGTGTAGAACAAAATTCATGTGAGAGTTGTAAAGTCAATTTATATTTCATATATATAACCGGAATATTTATTATTTGTTATGATTTAATTTAGAAGGAATAACCAAAGGCTTTACAACAATAGACCATGCACATTATTAGAGTTTGATTGGAGTTACTTTTAAGATCGTTCCAGTAGTTTTCTCAGTTAATAAATTATCCATTATTAATTTTTGTAGGCTATTTCATGTAACAATATTGGCAACGAGTCTAAAAAATTGTCACGTGTGTGTTTTGAGTTATTTAAAACTTTAAGGACAGGTATTAGTTGATTAATTTATTTGTTTGCGTTTGTGTTTGAAGTAAGCCTACTTACTTGAATAATAGTTAGTATCCCATCGTGGCGTTTTTGAATATTGCAAAATTTTTCTGAGTGATGAAATATTATGTATTATCATTGACTATCAATACTTCAGTAACTTCAGTATCCAATAGTCAATGGTATTAAAATCCATTTTTAGCCCCTGAGCTGTGATATTAATTAAATATAGGTATTTACCTTCGTCTACAGCTCAATCTGTTGTAACTTGAGTTACAACAGATTGAGCTGTAGACGAAGGTAAATACCTATTTTTAATCAATGATATTATCATTTAAATGGTATTATTTAAAGTTTTTCCATTTCGATAAAAAAAGAAAAATAGTTTTTTGTGCAACTAGTGAGCAAAGGGAGCAATTGACTCACTCGAGAGAAATACTTACTCACGAGCCGTAGGCAATTGCACTTTGCACTCGAGTTGCACATTATATTTTTCCTACAGTTACCATAAAACAAATAAATTGGTAAAGAAACGTGACATATTTTTTACACAGAAGTGAACTTTTAATATTACATTTAATAATACAACAGTACAACCAGCTGACCAGCTGATTTACAACCAGTGCAGCCAACGTATTTCGCGCGCATAAGACCTTGTTTGCATGTTACGCGCTCACTATTTCGTGCCTTCACGTTGCAAATCTGGAGTGAGTGAGACAAAGTAATTTAGAGTGAGAGAATGTTAACATTGTCTCACTGATGAACGAATTGGCCACTTTGCTTTTTCAAATCAGTGAGAGAACATGTACATTGTTAGGTAACTGTAGGAAAAATAAATAACTTCTGCATTGGCGACTGGAAAAATTGAAGATAATGCCTAAGACCTTCCAACATACGATTAGAGCAAATAATATAGCATATTTAATCTTCCATTTTCAGTGTACCTGTACCTCAAGTAAGTGCCTAAAATATTTAGGTTATGGCTAAGCAGCATTTGATCGGCAAAATTGCCGAATTTAAAGTAGAGTTAGAAACGTTTTCAAATTACATTGAACGTTTGGATCACCTCTTCTCAATCAATAAGATAAAAGATGAACACAAAGTCTCATTTTGTATTTCAATTATTGGTCCTTCCATATTGGTTATTCCACTCTCAAAATTTGCTTCACCCTAAACATTTTTCTGAAGTTGATTACAATGAAATTGTTGACTGTGGTACTGTGGATTGACTAAGAATGAATTGAGTGATCACTGCAGCTGTACCAGACACTGGAAATTGGACATTTGGGCTTGAAAATAAATGCTGAAGGAATGAAAGTTTTAGACAACTGATAAGTTAATCATTACTCATTACTTGAAGACAGCGATGCACACCTTAATGCACATTTTAATCGGAATATAAATGCAGGAGGTGAACCCTCGTGCAGCTGACTGAGATCATCTGTTTCTTTAGCAAGGGCCATAGACTATAACACCACAACCCAAAAAAGGTGTTTGTACTCACGTTCTGCGTGGACCGTCCAGCCAGACACCAGAACGAAGACGACACATAACATATAGTGAATTGTGCCCATCCTGCTGGGCTGCGAATATAATATCTGTAAATACAGAGAAAACGTTACATTTTCACGAATGAAAGTAATAGAAAATTACTAAAGAGTATAAGATGTCCGTGTACGTTTCTTCTCCCGACAATGACTTATTATTAGGATTAACCTACGGTTAAATTTAATTACCCATCACAAATGTTATTACTTAATTGTAATAATAAATTACTTTTTTAATTAATGTTAAAGAATATCTCCCAACATGTACAAAGGACTGTTATTCTTTGATAATGCTCAATAAAAAAAAAAACTATTTTATGTTCATCAAAATATTCTTTATAAGGTTCCATATTTGAAATGTATGGTTTCAATATCGCAGTTCTTAGAATATTTCGATAGTAAAGGAGACATTTCTGAGGAAAGCCAATTTTTGCAAACTCCCCTAAATGGATTATGTTTGTACCTCAAACTTGACTTTGCAGCAAAATATAGTTAGGTACAAAATGTAATAAGTAAAGTAAAGAAACTAAAACGACTGTTTCAAAGCTCCAAAAGCTTGCTAGTGAGGTTGTTCCAATCCAGAACGATATGGTAATATTGTAAAAAATTAGATGAAAGTTACGAGTATTTAGTTTAAACTGTACAAATAGGTTTTAATTGCTACTGATAAGTTGCAGTAGTTCGGCCGCTTTGAAAACGACCTGCGCGCTAATGCTAAACCAATGCTGGAGGAGGTCGCTTTCTAAGCGGCCGAACTATTACTTAAACCATTAATAACTGTGTAAAATATTATTTCACAATTAATATTATGAATCCTGTTCTAAAGGAAGGAGTTAGGGCAAATCAACGTTTTATATGAAAATACTCATTGATTAATCCAAATAAGCTTAGCCTTGTTACACGTAATAAATTAACCAGTTAATACCCAGATTTTTTCTAATAGTGTGATTTGGCAAACTGGTACTATTTTTTTATCTTTAAAATTAAAAAAAGTGTTTTTATAAATTAGTCGTTTGTTTAATCGATACTGACCTGTGCTTAGTGGTTGGCTCCAGAGAGCACTGACCCGCGACTACGGCGGACCTTGGCAGGGTCTGACACTGTAAACTGTGACAGTCAGGAGGGGAGTGGACGAACGGGTTCTGGAGATGGTGATAAGAAGACACTGACCGCCGCAGCCGCGCTGTCCACCTCCCTCCTCAGCTGTGGTGATTAGTGTAGGAAGTACCTTCTAGAGTCCATCACAGTAATATTGTACTTGGACTAAATCACACAAATAAAACAGTGGCTATCCACGAGCTTAGGGTTTCATGATCCTGACTGAAGAGCCTTGGTCAGCAAACTGATTACAGATACTTCACCAATAATTCTGGATTTTACATCAGCAATGTAAAAGAGAACCATATATAGTATCCCTACATAGAGTATCCCTACATAATATTGGCGTTGTTACAGGGTAGTAGTGAAACCCACCCAGAAGAGACTTAACCAGTCGGCTCTTTATAGACTCAAGAGTGCAGTGATTGTTTATAATTAATAACATGACGTAATAGATACTCATCTACTATTTTCTCCTAAGAACACTTCACTTGATTTCCAAGAGAAATATATCTACTCCCGAAAGAGATACCATTACAATTTGAAGATACAGCAAAATCTCCATCACATACCAAACCAATAGCACCTAATTGTTCATCTCCCAAGATCTCCACCACTACAAACAATGACACAACATCAGATGATGCTGTTGAAGCGTGATTGTAAATGACCATTGCTACCCTGGCTTGGTAGAGGGATTGTAAGTGTAGAGATAGCTTCTTTGTACAATTTTAAAGAACAACAATTATGTTGTTGAACGTACAATTTCCAACAAGCAGAGGTTCTTCTCAGTATCATCATAATAAGATGACAGTGTTTGGACATTATCTTTGTTGAACTGAGTAGATACCAGGCAGTTGTTTTCCCTTTTCATTACCTAGTCCGAAATGAGTATTATGTACCCAGCAAACCACTCCTAAATATACTCACTTAAAATATATTTTGGTGTATGTAGCCAGGGTGTTAGGTTAGTGTAGTTGCGTGCTACTTGTGACAGTGATAGCAGTATAAGCATTGACTATACACCTCTACAGAGGTGTATAGTCAATGGTATAAGTCTGTTCCTTCGCTCCACGCCACCTCGACAAACCGTGTCTTTTTTAAACGGCTGAGGACGACACGACATTGTAATGATTCGTCTTCAGTTGTTTCAGGAGAATATTGTAAACCCAAATAAGGATTTATCCATAAAATCTCTACATTAAAAATATCGGTTTTTCTTTTCCGAGACGGTTCTGCTCTTCTACCCGTCCGATTTACATAATTTTGGTCTTAAATTAAAGGTACGCACAGATTTGCCACTAAGCATCGGCATTCATTTATCTGATTCGTATATATCGAATTATGCACCTTCCTGTACATTTCTTATGAGAGTTAAATTTGGTTTTTGTTTTTTCTAGTTCGTTTGGCTCTTCTACCCGACAAATTTTCATAATTTTGGTCTTAATTTAAAGGTATACTTGCATAAACTTGCCATCAAGCATCATCATTAATTTATCTATTTTATTACTCTACAAAAACACATAAATTTGATTTATTCGAATTCTTACTTCAATTAAAGATGTGTCATGTGTGACCAGCCCTAATTACGTTATATGTGTTGGTCAAAGAACCTTAAGTACAAAAACCAGCTTTCATTTAAAACCAGCTATTGATTATTAAGATCGCACCTACCTCAAGCATGCTGCTGAATCACGAATAAACAAGTTATTGTTATTTAAGGACTAATCAGCAATCAATTATACGTAACTCCATTTTTATTTCAGTTATTTTAAATGCCTTGGTCTTAAAATATATAAATAAAGACTTCCATTTGAGTCATTGATCGTTTGAATCAGTTAGGTTCAAGTTACTGTATTACTCAATAAAAAACATTTAACAGTATAACTTTATTCGTATTTATTTTAATGCTGCGGAGCATCGCAGGTCCTCTAATTTAGTCTTAACCGTTAAATTACCCTGCCGCATACTTCAGGATTAATTATGTCTTTTATATTGCAGCAAAGTGCTATAGAGAACTTGTATTTTATAGAAGAACCGTTATAGGTATTAGGAATCCCAGATATAGTAAGATACGAACTTGGTATCTTGTTCTCTAATGTTATTTTAATAGTTTGTTGCGGTTGCGGTCATTCACCGTAACAGAATCACTTTTGCAAAAATTTAGCTATCGTAAATAAGAACATCTTTGTTCTTGAAATATTTTTTTAAAGTATCTAATCAGTGATCATGTTAACTATCGTACTGAGCAAATTCTTGAACATTACTTACTTACTATATCGATCATGTTCCCTTATAAAGTATTGTGAAACACAAAGTATAAGACTGTGCTAGTGTATGGAGTGTCATTACGTCTTTTGTGTAGTGGATGTGGAAAGTATTTGTTGGGACAGAATTCGTATCCAGAGTAGTATCAATAACACAATTAATTATAAGTCTTTATTTTCGGATAGTATGCAATACTAATAGCCTACAGCATCTTCGTATGTTTACGCTTATCTTAGACTTACGTAAGTAAATTTAATTTATTTTTTTGTTTTATTACCGAATTTCCCATATAGGGAATAAGCTAGTACCGTAGTACTCATGGTAAGACCTGGACCGTGACCGGAGGGTTTATGAAGGGTTTTATGGGGTAAAAATTGGTTTTCCCATTTTGACCCAAAACATGCAAAATTTTGCAATTTCTTTTAAAGCATTTTGTAGAGCTTAAAAACAAATAATTTAGTTTACTGAAGCTTTATATTGTAGGTATATTGCGCCTAACGGTTACGGAGAAAATTCAAAAAAAATTTAACTTAAAATTTCCACGTTATTCTTATAGAAAATAAGTAAACTGTTGTAAATTGCTTGTTTATGAACATATTTTGATCAAATATGGAAAATGCATTCACATATTACTAAACTATTACCATAAAATCTGACCATAAGGCTGTACTAATGCGGATCATCTGCAATGCGGTAAGTCACCCTTCTGATTTTCCTGTGTGGCATGATATACATAAGATACATACATAAGATAGATACATAAGACAGTTCAGAATCATCAATGATAATTTACTTCCTCTACTTAAGCAAGACCTTTTGAATATTAACTGGCATAGTGTGATAGAGGATAGAGAACCTGAGGGGGCTTTTGATGGTTTCTTTTCATTACTCTATGAAGCCTTTAATTTCTATTTTCCACTGCAAACAAGGCGTATTACAGGTAAGACTAGAGGTAGGTATGTTAGAAGAGCGAATAAGTTCTGGTATACACTGGAACTAAGTAGGATCAAGATGTTTGTCTTAACTAATAGGGATAGGCTTTCCGAAGAAACTTGTGAGGTAGCCATAAATCACCTTAGATCGCTCTATACTAGAGCCAAAAAACTGGGTAGGCGGAAAGTTGACGAGGCTAAGAAAACTGCTAATGTCCAAAGTATTGACTGCTCACTAAATCAGTGCAAGGCACCGGAACTTAGTAAACAAAAATAGAGATACCTGCAAGCCCCCTACATCAAAGTGAACAGCTAGTCCTGATGAATTCAATTGTTTTCTTCTAAACAGTGTCTCAAATATTGTAAATAGTTTCGACCATCCCCCCAGAATAGGCCTACTACTCACCCAACTAGAATGCATGGACCTACTTTGCTTTGCTGGTGGATATAACCCCTGATGAACTCTTAGAAATTGTCCATAAGCTAAAACACTCGAAAAGTTCAGATATTTACGGAAAGAATGCGACTATTCTTAAATCCATAATTAGCAGCATTGCCTTTCCACTTTGCAGAGTCATTAACCTATGCCTGAATGCTGGAATTTTTCCCAAGTGTATCAAAGTCTCACGTACTATGCATATTTTTAAGAAACGCGATGCTTCCAGTATGTCCAGTTACCATCCTATATCCATAAATACCTATGGTTGCTAAAGTTATTGAACTGTCATGAAGCGGCAGGTTGTAGATTATCTTGAGCAGAACTACTTGATTTCAGACCTGCAACATGGCTTTAGGCAGGATAGGTCTACGGTTACTGCAGTTTCAGACATAACAGAGGTAATACAAGACGCTTTTGAAGCTACTGAATCCCTGGCCTTGACTCTGTGCGATTTGTCGAAGGCTTTGGACGTTGTATCTCATCAGATCCTATTAGATAAGCTGAATGGTTATGGTTTCAGGGACAAAGCCCTCTCGACACTTGCTTCGTACCTGGACGACCGTCATCAAATTATCTCCCTTGGGGGTGCAATGTCCGAGGCACTCAAAGTTGAGCATGGCGTGCCCCAAGGCTCAGTATTTGGGCCTGTTTTATTCCTAGTGGCCATAAATGACCTAGAGTTGGAAGGAATGGCTTTAAGATTTGCCGATAATACGACTCTAATTACAACTGGAAGAAACCCGGTTTTAATGAGATTTCTGAAAATGTGCTGCCCTAAGGCAGCAGTAGAAGATTCTGAACTCTTGTTTGCAACTGCTAGAGAGTGGTTCAGTCAAAATAGGCTAATACCTAATGAAAATAGGACACAGAAATTGATCTGCTCTCTGTCACCATCGCTTGAGCAGGTGTCGAGAAATGTGTCACAGCTTGGATTTACTCTCGATTCTAAGTTAACTTGGGGAGACCACATTAATACCATCTGCACGCGGTTACCGAGGGTCACCTACCTGCTCCGGAAACTCATTAACCTGGTCCCCAAATCCTACCTGATAGTGGTATATCATGCCTTGTTCCATAGCCACGTCTCATAATATGGTTTACTATGGTCTACAGCTATGGGGCCATGCACCTGACTGCCTGAAAATCCTACGGCAGCAAAAGAAAGCTTTGCGAGTTATCACTGGTAGTAGGAGGCTTGAACGCTGTAGGCCGCTTTTCATAAGGACGGACATACAAATTTCGCTGTACGCAAACTTCGTGACACCAAATAAATAGAGTAGAGGCAATATAATCTTATGGAGGCTTTTTAGTTAAACACCCGTGAATTCTCGGATAGAACCTCTCGTAATTTATTAACAGTCCAACGATCAAAGAAATCAGAAGTTGGTTTCGGACCATAAAATATTTCTGA